GACAAAAAAAAAAATAGCTAGAATGCTGTAAAATATCTCTAATGAATTTATGAGAAAAAAAGGCATCTATAGCCAATTTTGCTTGAAATGCAGAAAAATTCAATTTGTTTTACGAACTTCAAATTATTTTTTCAAAGTTAAAAAAGTCTTAGGGCTTTATATTTATTATTTTATGTTCAAAATTTAATATAGAAACAAAAAATGCAAAAAAATAATTTTTGACGAAAAATATATTTTTTGGCGTGAACTCCCCCCTTAACTTTTTGAAAATATTCAGTAGACTGAACAGCATAATTAGCTTGTTCAGATCCAACAGGGTGCTGTGTCTCATCATTGAGTTGGCTGAAGTCAGGCTGAGGAGACAGAAGAGGCTGAGAAGACTCATCAGCTTGACCAGTTTAAATTTCTGAATCCACATCTGGGAATTTAGGTGGGATATTTGTTGTTTGCCGCCATGTTTTCTTTTTTAATGCAATCGTGTCTTCGTCAGTTTCATAACCAAATTTTTTGGGGACAATCTTACGTTTTCTATTCTCATCATCGCAACTACTTCCTTTCTCCACATCACTGGATCCTTCAGCCTTCCTCTCCTTCTTCCGGGCTTTTTCACACGACACTAACATAAAATTTCTTTATAAGTTATTTAAAAAAACTAATTTCACAAAGGAGCAACACTTTTAAATAATAAACAAAAAGCTTAGTCATGAACAGGTAAGATTGGAAGAAATATAAAAAATATCATAATGTTTAACCATTTCAAAAATGACCAAAGTAGTTTTCAGAAAAAACTAGCCTCAACTGGAGATTGTTTAGTTTTATATGTCTGTCAAAGAATATCTTATGATTTTTGTTTACATTTGCTATAAAAGCTATGAACACAAAAATAAGCTCGATTGTTGAGAATTACACAGATTTCATTATTTATACAAAATATTTTGGTTCTTAAGATTTTTCAGCAGGCAGTTTATAAAGATTTACTAATTCATATTTTTAGAACTTTTATGGTCAACTTCCATGTCTGAACCAAGTAGGCCTATTGGTACCTGTAGGCCAAACCCAGTGAAGATCCCACTAAACAATATTTTACCACACACAATATTAAAACTGTACTATACATACAGATCTTAATACTCACAAATATTGATACAAAGCGTTTTTACTCTACACACAGTCCACGAGTCGTCTGGGTGTGCTTCAGTTTCTATTAATTTAGATGTCGACATTCCAGGTATTTTTGGTGGCCACGTACATGATGCCTGGTCATCCGTCAGCCACTTCTGTAGCACACAGCTGACTGTGTTTTCTTCAAGAAATTTCACAACAGCCCAAACCATTGTCTGAAATTGAAATCAATTACTCAGGTTAACATAAAAGTGCTTAAAACCTATGTTCACATATCATGGATCTAATCAGCAACAATAAAAACACTTATATAGCTGTTATTGAGAAAAAAAAAATATTTAAAAAATCAAAACAGCTTCATAAGACTGTAGCAAGATATACTTTCATCTTAAAAGGAAGTACAATATAACCAAAGTTCATTGTATTGTTGTTAACCCTTATTGACTAGAAGTTACCCATTAAGACTTTGTTCTTTTATGAACACCACCAATATTTTGCTTTGTTTAAAAAATAATAGCAGTGAATTTATTAATTATTGTTAGAATATTAAGACTTTCCAAAGCTGGTCTTAGGGTAATGCTACGGGGCCGTCGCCTAGGTCTTCTCGTTCTAAGGCTCGTTAAAAGGTTCTCTCGTTAAATTACGTTTTCACGTATCAAAACCCATCAAAACCCAGGGGCCCGCGCGGGGCGATGGCCCCCCTGCCCCACCAGCTAGCCTGCCCTGCATGCAATATATCTGTGCGAGTAACTCAAATAAGTAGTGGTCACCATTTCGATTAAAAGTATCTAAGTATTAAGTATTTTGACTCGTTTTTGAAAACTTAGAAGGATGTCGACTATTATCGGACATCCGGTATGTTAAAAGTTTACTTTTATGAGATAGTCAAAACCCTTTTTTAATAAACTGGGAAAAGTAACGAAATTATTTTTGGAGTGATTTTAAGCCAACTTTAATATAAACTTACATGCGATTTTTAGTAAAGACTACTTTATTTATTTAAAAAAGTCTTAGTCATGGCCCTAAAACAATTTTTTTAAGAAACACAAAATATGTTTTCAAAATATATTTTTTTAAATGTGTGGGAATATATATTTTACCCAGCTCGGTTAAAACAAATTACCAAAATATATTTTTTTATAACTGAAACAGGCTATTTACAAAATATTTCTATAATATTCTTTAAAAAGGCGTTAAAAAGTGTTAAAAAAAATATTTTTACAATTAAAGTTCTATAAATATTTTTAAATGGTATTTTTTTAGTTAAATAAAATATTTAAAAAAATAACTTTTGCATAAAAAACTAAATTATTTTGTCTTAATATATTAAAAATATGTTTTAAATATATTCAACCGAAAATATAAAATATTTACCAGATATATTTTGAAGACCATTTAAAAATCATTTTAAAAATATTTTAAAGGTGTTACGTTAAAATATTATTGAAAAATTAAAAACAAATATTTTAAAAATAATATTACAATACATAAAATATTTTAAAGATGAATATATATTTTAAAACCATTTTTTAAATATCCTTGTGCTGTCTGTGTATCATCAACGATATATCTTATTTCGCTTGCTAAGACTTAGTAACAAAACTATTTGAGTTAAATGAGTAATAGCCAGCAATTTGAATGTTCAAATACAAATTAATTTTCCTCCATGCATGGCAAAATTTACGATTTCAAACTATCCAACAAAATATACGACATAGAACCGATAGGAAATAATAATATATGTTCTCTACTATAGAGCCATTTAAAAAAATCATGTATTGCATTTCAAGGTTGCTTGTAGTGCTCTGAAATATTCTATTTTGTTGTGATATTGTAGTTGTTTACCAATCACGTTTTATATGACATCAACAAATAATTATTATTTCCTGTAACATTCATATTATTGTTTGTGATAATCAATTCACTTGATCATTCTCTACTGCTATTACTGTCAGGAGCTGCCTACTCTTCGGGATAGATGGTACAACTTTAAACGTTCCATCTAAATGTATTTCATTGGCGTTGACGAAGACATCTTTTAGTGTGTCGATAACAAAGCAAATTGCTACGTCCTCATCTTGGCCCACTTCTTTTAAAGTGCCGTCAGTGTCATGGAATCGTCCCCTCAATATTTCTTCACGTAGGTTTGAGGGATTCTGGGCGTACTTTGGCTCCTTGTCCTCTTCATGGAGCTCACTAGGCTCTTAAAGGTTAAGGGAACGGTGACGTTTGGCAAAACTCTGAAACATGTCAAGGGTTTCCTTAAGGGCTTTTCTTCATTAGCGTCTATGCCAACGATATAACATTCAAGCAGCGGAAGCCTGGTCCGCCATCTTACTGCAGGATAGAAGCGCTACAAGAAAATGGCACCAAAACTCAATGTTTCGCTTCAAAATAACTCGACATTTACAATGTACAAGTTGAATAATTCCCAACAAGTAATGTTTGCATTTGCCTTCTTGGCATTCTGCATGAGCACCTTCTACTTCAAGGTGATTAGAGTTTTTTTTAAGACTTCATAAATCTTCATAGTGCCTTTGAATGCTTCAAGTTTCTTTTTTAACACGGCTATCTACTTCATCTTAACACATACACTTTAACAAATTTCTTGTAACACGGTGACTACAGTGTCACAGTTTGGAATGTCTACCATTCGTGAAACCAGATTATCCTCTGTTCTTTTGAGCATAGGATTGAGGTGCTCATCAGGAGCACCTTTCTCGTGGGAGATTTCACAGTAATGCCAGTGATCGGTTCCTTAGCAAATTTAGAACCCAATTCTTTCTGCAATTGGAACATAGTTTTTTGTGTACTTGGCCCGTCACTCAATATTTTGAATATTTGTTCTTGCACTCACTCACAGTGCCGAATGACAATAGACCTGACTTTATGGCATTATGAAAATAGACTACACAAATGTGTATTGTCCCATATAACACAAGTACATCAATTGAACATTAAATTGATGTTCAAGAATGTTAAACTGAACATCGTATGCACATTCATGCTTGTACAAATTACGACTATTGTACGTTCAATTATTGTACAAACGTCACAAACATCGATATACATATGATGTGCGTTTTTGGATCAATTTATCATCAATTTGACATCAAATTGTTATTCAATTTATGTTAAATTAACGCTCAATTGAGCATTGAGTATACATCATATGCACATTCATGTTTGTACAAATTAAGACTATTTAACGTTCAATAAATGTACAAATATCACAAACATCGATATACATATAATGCGCATGTCTAGTACAATTAATGATCATTTTGATGATTTTCAATTTATGTTCAATTGAACATTAAGTGGACATTGTTTAAATATTTATTTTTATTCAAATTTCGGTAATTTTATTAAAATAAATGGTCAAAAGTCACTGGCCTCAATAACATACAAAGCGTACACCAGTTTTTGACACAAATGATTATCATAGATTGTATCTTTTTCAACTGTTGGTAGATACAGTCTAACCTCAATATAACGAACCTCGATATTACGAATTCCTTGATATAACGAATTTTTTTAAATCCCCTAGAACTTTCCATATAAAACAATGTAAATTTTACCTCTACATAACGAACAAACCGTATTATAAACCTTGATTTAACGAATTTTTGACGATCCCGGCTGATGTTATTCACCTCTATATAACGAATTTATCAATATCAGAACCTCTATATAGCGAACGCAACCTCTACTTAACGAATTGATTGCGTCATCCCTCGTTATAACGAACGGAAACAAACGCAATTCGCGTCTAGACATGAACGCTCGGTCACAGCGTCTAGCTTCCTGTCCTGTTTTATTCCAGTTCATTGCGTCTGTCAGTGCAGTGGATTGTGCAGTGCGTGAAATCAGAGATTATGAGTGAAAACAATAAAAAGAAACGGTGCGCGTTAAGCGTGGATACTAAGCGTAAAATTATTAAGTGCGTTGAAGAGAACCCAACAAAGAAAAAAACGGAAATTGCGAAAGAGTTTGGCATACCACCTAGCACCTTGGCTACAATTTTAAAAAGAAAGGACAAGTTCGACAACGATGATCTGTGTTCGGCAATCAAAAAGTTAAAGTCGTGTGAGCTAAAGGATGTAGAGGAGTGTGTTCTCAAATGGCTGAAGCAGTGTCGGGACAAAAATATTGCTGTAAGCGGTCCAATCCTTCAAGAAAAAGCCCAGCAGTTTGCTTCTGAACTGGGGCATGAACAATTCCGAGCTAGCAACGGATGGTTGCAAAATTTCAAAAAACGAAATGAAATTATTTTTAGAAAAATTTGCGGTGAAAGTGCTAAAGTCGACGATAGTGTTTGTTCCGAGTGGAAAGATAAACTTATCGCGCTAACCGAAGGCTACGAACCGGAAAACATTTATAATGCGGACGAGACGGGACTGTTTTTTAAGTGTTTGCCGGACAAAACCTTGTCGTTTAAGGGCGATAAATGCCACGGCGGGAAAAGCAGCAAGGATCGCCTAACTGTAATGTTGTGCGCAAACTGCACAGGAACTGACAAATTAAAGCCTCTTGTAATCGGGAAGTCAAAAAACCCAAGATGTTTTAAAAATCTGACTGATCTTCCTACGGACTACATGGCAAACCCAAAGGCTTGGATGAACTGTGAGGCATTTACTAAATGGCTTCAAAGTGTAAACAAAGAAATGAAAAAGAAAAAGAAGAAAATTCTTATGTTTGTGGATAACTGCACGGCTCATGGAGACATTCCTAAACTCAGTAACATAAAGATCGAGTTTCTGCCTCCAAACACAACATCGAAGCTGCAACCACTTGACCAGGGGATTATTCAAAGCTTTAAAGTCAATTACCGAAAAGAGGTTGTTCAACAGTTTCTGAGAGACATGGAAAGCCGAATTCCAACTAACATTAACATCTTGGACGCCATGTGGATGACAACAAAAGCATGGAGCAAGGTCACGGAGACCACAATTTCCAACTGCTTCAGGAAGAGCGGATTCGCCGTTCCGACCTCGGAAGACAACACAGCACAGCCTTTCACTCAAGCCGTCGATGTTCCTGAGAGTTGGGAACAAATCCAAGAAGTGCTCAACCTACAGGAGGACGCTGCAGGGTTCGAAGACTTCGTTACATTTGATGACGACCTGGCCGTGTGTGGAGAACTAACTGATGCCGAAATCATCTCCTCTGTGACGTCAGATGAGAATGCGGATGTGGCGGATGTGGAGGAAGATAACGACGAAGATGAACAAACTGAGTTGCCTGACCCAACTTCAAAAGAAGCTCATCAAGCTCTAAGCTTGCTAAAACGTTTTTTTCTTAAAAAGAGTGGTTTGTCTGACGGTGTTGTGAAATCTATCACCGACCTGGACTGCGCCTTGGACACGTTGAGCATCACTGCACGTAAGCAAACAACGATAACAGACTTCTTCTTTAATAATCAGAGTGGAAGTAGCCAAGTAAGTGAAGTAACTGACAATGCCAACTAAATCCTTAATTCTGATGTAGAATGACGAGAATAGGTTAGGCTTATTGAAAAAGTGTTATTTTTCTTTTAAATTACATTACTGTACTCACATTTTCTGTTGTTCTTTATATGGTTTATGTTCTGTTCTGTGTGTACAGTATTTTTTTGTAACAAGTCTATTACTGTTTTCTTATTTCTGTTAAATTTAAAACATTTCTATTTTATTTAAAGGTTTTGTAGATTGATAATGATAGTTATCAAAATACACATACACTCAACTCCCAATTCTCCGGGATAGTGTTAAGTCAAAGCTTACCGGAAACTTTAAATCGTGGTTTATTCTGCAAAATATTAATTGAACAAAAAGGGTTCCAATTTTATAGGAATCACGATGAACAACGCACGTATTGTATTTAAACACAATGAAACAAGCAAATTATTTAAAAAAAAATGTAGGCTAGTCTTTAAGATAAAACAAAATTCAGTTCACTATTGACAAAATAAACACTAATATAATTTATTTTCTTTGCAAATAATCTGTAGGCCCTAACAGTTTTCTGTGAGAAACGTCTCTATCTGTAGTTTTGTTTTATGTTTCAAAACATAATTTTGTCTGCAATTGTAGCAGTTCATTGCAAACGTATCGGGACGGGCAAGGAGGGGAGAGGTCTATGACCTTGAGTAGGCCCGGCTCAAGACGAGTGATTTATGGTTTGTTTACCTACTAAGGCTTCCTACCTAGAAAAAACTCTGCTGTTTCAACCCTGTTTCAACAACACTGACCCAACGTGTACGGAAACAATGGAAACATTCACTTGAATTATAAAAGCCGTATGCGTTTAGCTTAATTTTCGTCGAAAATGTCCCAGTTATGCTAACACGTATCATCCGTTAATGGCTAGAATTCGGGAGGTGAGTGTATTAAAATGTATTCACCGTATAGCCTGTATTATAGAACCAGACTTTTCGTTTTGAAATGGTGCTGTACTTCTGTAGTGTACTGTACTTGACTATCTGTAGTACAATTATGATTTTATGAATACTGTACAGTTCATATGAAAAAAAATAAATCAACGTTTGTATAAAAGAATGGGAGTTTTATTTAATCTGCAACTTTAAAAATACAGTAACTGTAGTAGCATATGGTACTGTAAATGTGTTTAAACGACGTCACACCTCGACCAACATTTACCGATGTTGATAGCAAACCTTGACATAGCGAATGTTTTACAATCCTAACCTCTATATAACGAACCTCGTTTTAACAAAATCCTTGATATAACGAATATTTAGTTCGGTCCCTTGAGATTCGTTATACCGAGGTTGGACTGTATAAAAACCCATTGTTTTGGTAAAAATATTTATTTACATGAAAAAAAAACAAACAATGGTAACATCTAACATCGATAAATAAAATAGAAAAGATGAGTTTTCTCCTTCCACTCTTAGGAACACAACAATTACAAACAATTAGTTGTTTGTAGCGCCATCATCGACAGAAACAACGGCAGCAACATGTTTTGCCCTAAAACAATAAATAGAATAGATTAATATACTGATATGATAATAGTCATTAATATTATCATGCTCTTGCTGGTCAGAGCATTAGAGCAAGAGACATAATATTATCATGTCTCGAATGATCAGAACTGCTTGTCAAAGTAAAGTTTAATTCAATTGTAGTTAATATTTGCATTGGTATTCAAAGCATATGTCAACCCCGTGTCAAACCCCCCCCCCCCCAGGCAATCCTACTGTCTTAGAAAACTCCCATTTGCCTCATTGGATTATCACATAAATATTTCCTTGAACATATCAGATTGATTCTGCATTTAAAAAACAATAATTGCCTAAGTTTGCTGCTACAGAGAGGGTAATTAAGTATCATAAAAAAATCTGTTGAATCACCTTCCAATTTAAATTTTTGTAATTCCATAGCATCTGTCAGTTTACTTGATTGGTATGAAAAGACACTAAAGAAATAAACACAATAAACAAAAATGAATAAATATGAAAACATTGGTGAGTTATGGTTTGATTAAAATTCATAACAACACAATTGCAGAATCTTACTAAGACTTACTCTGACTGAGATCTAAACTTAGCCGCGCGCAACCATGATTTGATCACTTCTTCAACCTCTTTGTCAGTTGAAGAAGCAGCATTTTTGTTTCTTCTCACAGCTCCTGAAAATTTATATCAAAATGTAAAAACAGTTAAGAAGAGGAAAACCTAAAAAGTTAAGTCAGCCCAAAAATATTAATATCTGGATTATTTGTATAAAAAATTATGAGGAGTTTGTAGTAGGTGTGTAGGTAGGGTAGCAGGTTTGTAGGAGGTGTGTAGGTGATTTTTGGATCATTGGCCAAATGGCGTTTGTCAAGATATTGTTATAAAATATATAACGAAAAGAGGAAAATAAATAATAAACCTTTCAGCTAAACCCCTTTCATTTAAATTAAAATAGTCGTAACAAATTATCAGTTTGTTTTAAGTATAGGCCTATAGTTAAAAACTTTACCACGAATACCACATTTAAATAATAAATTAAACAATTTGGAATGTAATGGCCGTGTGTATAGTTCAATAACAAGATTGTATAAAACTCTGTAAATTATGACAGTATACCATAAATGTTAAATTAATGTTAGTAGTGGACAGTGTATAAATGGTTGAGTATAAATTTAAATGTAATAATTTTACAAAGAAAAATAAAATATATTTATAGTTTAGAAAAGGGAGAATTTCTTTTGGGGTTTTTATCAGTTTTGTTATGGAAGATCATTGTTACAATCAATGTGTTGCAGTTAATGATGAAGACACAAAATCAAATTGCTAAGTGAAGTGTCACCGCCGCAGCAAAACCAGCCAACTAAGCGAGTTTTCGTTTGGGCGATTGGATTTTCACAAACATATGTCTTAAAAAAAAAAAACATATTAAGTCCTTTACTTAAAGAACATTAGGTCTAGATTAGTATGAAATGAATTTTGACGTTTTGATCAAAATATTATCGTAAACAACCTAATAATTACAACAGTTTATTTATTCTCCTAAGAATACTGGGAATTTAAATTTAAAATTTGTGGAATTTCACTGTAACCAATCGCTGTACAAAAACACTTCAAGACACTAAATGTATTAAAGTTTTTACATTTCTACCACTGACTAGTAGATAGGTCTACTGTTGTGTCAATAGTCAAAGGTTCTACAAAATGGGTTAGGAAAAATCAGTAAATTCCGTTTCAAGGGTAAAAAATGAGAAAAATCACTTTTTACCCCATAGAATCCCCATAAACATCCATTCTTATAGTCCAATCATGCTGTTTTGTGAACTCACTTGTGGGTTCATACATTTTGTACCAAAGTTCATTGAAATTGGATCGTTTTTGCTCTAGTTATTGTGCTAATGGACACATATATAAATATGTAAATTTATAATTTAAATAAATTTTCAAAATTTGATCAAAATATGTGCATATACAAATAAACTACAAAAATGTACTTATACTCCAAGAATACATATATGAGGATTTTCAATTACATTCAATTATTGTTAAAGTTGAGAAGTATTTAATTTAATGCATGTTATTTATTATTATATATTTTATTGTTTTTAAGGTAATTGTTTCAAGTTGTTTTTAAAGCAAGCTAGTCTTATATAGAAAGGTAGAGAATAAGTCAAAACAACAATATAATAGCAAATCTTGACAAGAAACAAGCAAAACCAGAGTGTAATATGGAGAAGGACTGACCAAGGGACAAAGTTCATTGTTATCTAGAACAAGTTTATCTGTATGAGCTGCAGACAAGCCAATTTTTCCTGGCTTTTGCAGCAAGCTTTGTTTATAAAATGTTGTAAGATTTTTGTGATTTTTCAAATAAATAAAAAAATACATATGAATTGGAACGGATGGTGTTTTGGCCCCTTGGGACCTCAAAACAAAAAAGTAAATCGGTCCTGGATTCAGGTCTTACCATAGTACCTACGGTAATAGCTTATTTCCTATGGGAAATTTGCTAAAAATTCAGAAGCATAAAGAGAGATACACAGAAATACAATGTTTTTTATTTCATATAAACTTACGAAATATAACTTATTTCAACTGCAATGTTGAGAAAGCAGTTTTATGCTTTAATCCCAGCCAGCTAAATTCTGAGGCTGCCCCATTTGTCAGCAGTTGCCTCAAAATTCTTTTCGTCACATCTGCTACATTGGCCCCTCCAAGTCTACTCAGACGATTGATCTGGAAAACAATAAACAGAACTAAAACTTTAATTTAATTTCATAAATGTCCACGTATTAATATCAGACATGCTACATACATATTGTTTGGATTTTTAAGATATATACTGACAAAAATCAATCCCATTTTTACCTCTTTAAACTTGGTTTCATGGTTAGATCAGCTGTTTATAGATAGTCAGTCTACAAACTCGTGTTGATAAGTTTGTGTAGTTTCTTAGATTGCAGGTTTGCTACAATTGGGCTACTTTCAATTGATATTAATATTGGTTTCAGCAAATTTCCTGCTGGTGATAAAACAATTCTCTGAACTAAAATGAAATCTCTAGCAGCTCAAAAAATGAGTTCCAGTAAGTCAAAATGGCGGAGCCAAACAAATTAAAAATTGAATATTAATATGGTAATGTTCGTGTAGAATTTATGTTAGTATAGTGTGTTCGATTATTTTAATAATATAACAAATGCTTTTTACCTAAATCATAGGTCTTTAGAGAACTTGTCTAACCGTCCATTCACTCCACCTAAAGTTGATTTTTTCTCTCAAAATAGGGAGTAATTTTTTACACGTTGGCACGATTTTGTTTGTTGGCGTGAAAGTCTTTTATGCAATCAACTATTACCCGTTTATCAAATCCGTCTAACTGCACTTTGTGGTGGTCAGCTCTTTTGCGTTCATTTCTCTGGCCTGTTTAGTTTCTCATCGGGAGTTAATTTTCCCGCTTTCCGAACACATACTTAATAGGGTTTTTCGACACTATGCAATGATTTACAGGTTCAA